ATGATACTACTACTTATCAATAATAATAAATAATAGTAACAATAATATAATAATAAAAATGATGATAATATTGATAATAATAAAATGACTTTATTAACATTTGGATGTTTGACTTCTCTTAAACTATTGGGTGTGGGTGGTTGGCGGGTGCTCTGGTGTGGTTTGCTTCTTCTTACCTGTCAAACATCTATCGTCCTTATCTCCCCTTCTTCTTTTTATGTTTATTACTCTCTTGTAACAGCTCTAATATTCTGGTGTTCATATGACCTTATGCAGTTGCAAACTTCTACTAAAACTAAAAACTAAACTATAGGGTAAAGCGTTCCAGATCTTGGGGCCATGACAAAATAAATTTCGCTGGCTGGGTGCAAGAACCCTACAAGTGCAAATTTGCAAATTTGCACTTGTAGGGTTCTTGCACCCAGCCAGCGTAAATGGTCCTTAGTTTTATAGATGGTTCAAGTAACGTCTTTATTTTCAGCTGATGACCTTAAGCTGCGAGTTGGATTATACAGTTTCAACAGATTTGATAACTATGATGACGTTTCATCATTCAAGAGATTGTGACGTAGAGTGGCTAAAATGTAGGCTACTTAATTCTTTTCTCAAGAGGAAGTCAGTATAGCTGAGTACAGTGCCCATTAAAGAGTCTCGCAGTCTTCTCTATAAAACTTAACGTGGAATATTGCTTTGAACAGTTTGAATTCCCCCCCCCCCCTATCTCTTAAGATATTCCTGATAACAAAAAGTTACAATAATCAAGTCTTGATAAAACTAATCGTGTATCTAATAAAGCTGTACACTTAGTATTTTACTTTATTTTGTATACATTGTATATCTAAATAGATGTACTTTTACCACTTTTACCTAGACAACCCTGAGTGTTCAGTTAGATCAGTCGGTACCACGCGGATGGCCCTGGTTTGATTCCACAGTTGTCAAGTATTAAAGAAAAGAGGACCCTAGCGTTATGGGCGTCAGCGGGAGGGGTACTACGTTAGTTCAATTGCTATTATATTAATTTATCTAAAACTTTTTCGGAGAAAAAAAAGCACAGAAGCAAGCAGCAGAGGCAAAGGACAGAAGAAGAACAGAACAGCTGTGCACTCTGATCATTCGCAGTTAGACCTATACTGGGATCCCAGCCTTTTTTTGTAGAGGGTTTTAAGGCGCTCGCAACTGCATAAGGTCATATGAGCGCATAAGGTCATATGAGCACCAAGGGGTGGGTGTCAACAGAGAAGTCCTTACCGGGAATCAGACTTACTCTGCTCACCTCTCTAGCTTCAACAGCACACGGTCTGCTTCGACTAGCAAGGCACCCCGGAATTAGCAGGTCACAAGAGTGACAAACATAGAAAAGACGTAGAGGAAAAAATGACGATAGTAAAGATTAGGAAAGAAAAAGCAGCAGCTCCATGTTGCAGATCAGGCACAGTTATGAGTGTGACATGATGTATCAGCCCATTTACAATTCTACTGTGCTTGAATGAGAAATGTCCCCCCTTTGGGAATGGTCTAAAGACACAACAGTCAGTGGCACTGACCCGGGAGGTGTCCAAGCCTTTAGAAAAATTTAGACTGCGTCCAAAAACGACATAATAAATTCAATTTGTTCATAAATAACGAACGCAACTACTTTGCAGTTCTCCAAGTATTTTGAATATTATGTAACATATTCTGACAACCCTGCAAGATATGTGAAAGCATATTCTGCCTATACTGTGTAGTATATCTTGGTATACTATGTATTATGTTGTTATCTCTATTTTTTAAATTTTAAAATGTAACTAGACAATTGAAAGTCATTTGTCTTTTACCTCGACCTTTTCGAGCGCGAGGGGTCCCAACTGCAGAACGTCGTTTTCTTTTCGGCATGGTCAGGAGCTATCTAGATCTGGGGGCTCTCGTGGCCTAGAGGTTAAGGTGTTGGCCTCTCATTCAAAGGTCCCGGGTTCGAATCCGGGTAGCGACCAAAAAATTTTCTTCTCTAAAATTGTCTCCTTTCACCTCCTTAACTGCTCTCTAGCAATGTTCTGTCGTCTGCTTTCAATTCCACTTTCTGCCCCCACCCCCTCACCTCCTTTGCCCCATCCTCTGGGCTCCTGACGCTTTCTGCAGCCTTTCTACTGCTACTCCTTGGCTCCTCCTTACTGCTGTCTTTCTGCCACACCCCTGATTTTCTGGTAGGAGAGATCTACACCTAGCCTTCTCGGACAAGAGTGAAAAATCTCGGAGGGCTCGTGTGCAAGTTGCGCACGTTAAAGATCCCTTGGTGGTCTAAAATCGATAAGAGTAGGCTTCGGCCGCCACCCGGGCAAAATTCAAAATTTTCTACCAACTGCTCATATGACCTATGCAGTTGCGAGCGCCGTAAAACACTTTACAAAAAAACCCAAAAAAACATATCTAGATCTAGATCTAGATTCTAATCTAAGTCCTGTTGACGTTGTTCCCAGTAGCAAGAAAAAGAATTTGATAAAGGAGTCCAGAAAAAGCGATGATGGGCATCAATCGAAAGGATCACAGTCGAATTTAGCACCAAGTAAAAAAAGAAAACATGAAGCAGGATCTAGATCTATACGGGTCACACACTTAAATTAGTGCTCAGTATTCCGCGACAATGCGCGATAGTATCGAACGGATGTACGACTTAAAATAAACAAACCTGGCGGATTTTCTAAAATTACAGAGACAGAAGCGTCGGCCTACAAAAGCGATCGGGGAAATAAAGAAATTTAGCTTTTTACAACAAAACTGTCTCAAAACTAAAAAAAAACCCGAAGGGCATCATGATCAGGAGAATATTTTAAAGAATATTTTGGCGAAAACCGCATGTCGATCGATGCTGCCATTAAAAAGCCTTTTGAATAGCAAAATTCGGTCACCACAAATAGATAATAGATAATAGATGTAACGTTATAATGCTGGGATATGATAAGATAATCGTTATACAAATCACGAACCGCGATTTCTTAACTTAGTTGTATTTAAGGAGCTTTCGAGGCTCTCAACATAATTGCCTCTGTGTATAACCTTACAGTGTTAAGACCACACCACACCATACCACACCACACCACACCACACCACACTGCACCACACCACACCACACCACACCACACCACGCCACACCATATTAAAAGACTATTTTTACCCTTTTCCCCCTTCCCGCTATACTAAAGGCCTTCTATACCAGGAAGCTGTCGACGGTGCAGGTACCCATAGCAACGTGACGACGACAACGTGAATGAGCCCAGACAGCTACCTGTTCCCGAAGAATGATCACGCAGCTGACAGAAATCAACTAATACATGAAGATGTAACAGATGACGTTATGTGATTTTTCTGTATGTTTTTTTGCTTTTTGTTTTTATGTTGAAAGGGGGGGGGGGGTGTCCAATCAGCGGATTGCTTGGTCTTGTTGGGTTGTTTGCATTTTAGAGCTAAATCGTCTTCATGTACCATGTTCCAATTTGCTGAAGTACAATTGTTAGATACGTAGAAAAAAGTGTCAACATGGTATTAATCGTTATATTTTCAAAAGAGAAAAAAAAGAAAGGAAAGAAAAAAATATCCAACAAACAAAACAAAATTCTCATCAAAACAAGGAAAAAATTGTTTGGATGATTATAACTAGGTTATCTTGACAAAGCCCTCAGCGGCGAAACGTTGAATATATTATACATTTTGAAATTCTTCATAGTCTCTACCATTTTTGTTTTTGTCTTTTTGATGTCTACAATGATGATGATGAAGATGAAGATGAAGATGAAGATGATGGTGATGGTGATGATGATGATGATGATGATGATGATGATGATGATGATGATGATGATGATG